TATTTGAAAACCCCAAAGACAAAGAACACTCTAAGAGGAAGAACAGGAGAGACAGACTCTTTTAGTATTTAAAAATGAAAAGCAGGAATACACAGAGCAAGCAAAGATGCACACACAGCTTCCATAGGACAAATAAGCATTTAACATAATACCAAAGGAAGCAGTAAACATCCCTTCATACCCTGCCTTTTTCAGAAGGATGGAGGCAATTGCCTTGTCCTCCTCCCTTTAGTATCTGAGATTCCTTGCAATTATACTGCTAGCAAAAAAAGATACAGTTTGCACAGAGACAACTTTGTAATTACAGCAAGAAAAAGTTGCATGGTCCACCGAGTACAAAACACTACAAAACTCACAGTAATAAGAAGTCAGGGACTTAACTATTCATTTATTTAAATGTATGCTGCAGTTTTCATTTTTTCTGGTCAAATCAACAGATTTTAATTGGCACTTTCAAAAGCAGCAGCCTATGAAAATGACAAAAAAAATACTAGAAACAAAGCAAATACATGCCCTAAAGTCTTTTTAATTCTTGAAATTATGCTGTCCTTTTATTTGCCATTGAGGAATGTATGCATATTATTCCCTTTTAAAACACATTTCAAATCAGCTCACACTCTAGGTTATTCAAAACTTGAGCGTATGCACYATGCTCAAAAACGCTTGGTGCACTYAGAGGAAAAAAAGGACAACAGAGAAAAAAGAAAAGTGAATTAGTAATTTTACTGTAATACTGTAATAATTTCCTATGTGCTGTGTCAGGGCACATTTGAGGGAGCCATCTGTAGGGTATCAACTTCAATGAGGTTAAGGAACATAAACACTGAGCTGACACGAAAAATCAAAGCAAAAGAGCAAAGAAATACTACTGCGACTCGTGGTACACTTGGCACACCTTCTGCATTTAAAGACTCTGCTGCCATGCAGACTCCATCTCAATGGCTGGTGTATCACTCAAATGTCCTGAATTAATAACGGAGATACAGCCCACAGATGGCATATAGTATGGTTTGAGACAGACTCATTTTGACAGGTGACAAAGACAACTACTCATCTAGTCATGTGAAATTAAGCACTTACGGGAATGGCAGGTGCGAACTGCCTCCTTTATACAGATTTGGAAGCATCCCATCACTCACAGAAAGCGCCGTACTAAAATCCCAGACAACTCTGGAAGTACAGTTAGTGTTAAATCCGCAAAGGAGGCAAGCTAACRCTGAGATGTGAGCCCCTGCCCTTTTACATTTTGGATGTTCTACAGTCCCTTGTGATTTAATAGAGCCCCAGATACTTAAAAAGAGAATTCAGTTTAAACCTAAGGAAAAGTGAAATATAGACAAGGCAAAAATTAGTATCTAACACTATGGCATGAACATTAATTAATTTAAAGCTGCTATGCATTTCGCCTTATTTTTTACTTTACTTATTACTCTTTTCAGACTAATTCCCATTCATCATTTATCTACTACTATTGTTTTAATGGATTTTTCCCAACCCTCTCTCTCCATCAGTCCCTGGAAGTGGATGTTAAACAGTGTCTCACTAGAGCACTAGYGAGTAGCTTCATAATGTGACTGGGGAAAAAATTGCCCAGAGGTTACCTCTAAAGCAGGGTGTATTCCTCATGTGCTTTTGCTACATGTTGATACTACAGGGTGATAAAAATCTTTGCCATCTGGCAGMGTGTGTAATGAGAGCAGCAGCTCTGTGCAAAGACACATGGGCAAGAACACACAGGGTAACCACACACACAAGCGCTCCTTGCAGGTTCTTCTAGGACTATAGAACAGAATCTAACACCAACCTTCTCCTTCACCTTTAACATTATATAAAACAAAACTAAATTCCAACACAAATTGTTTTTCCCTGGCCATAGTTCATGTCTGTTTATCAAAATTTTCTTCCATGTATATAAAAGCCCAAGTTTGCCTCAATGCCATGTTGCATCAACATATATCAGGACTGACACTGGACAAGGGCATATCTCAAATTCTCAGTTTGAGACCAGCCTCCAAATAAGCAAGCTATATGCTTCATGATTTATGCATTCAACAGGCTGCTGAAACAGTGTTAGAGCACTTTGGAAAACAGAATACTACCTCCCTTGCTTGGCCAGATTTTCTCTAAGTAGGAAACTGAAGATGYCTCCTACAGGTAAACACAGACTCCAACTTCTTTCTCAGTCTTAGTACCACAGTCAAGAGAAACAATGTTTGGGTTTCTGGTCCTTCAGTTCCTTTAAAAACAGCAAATAACCCTCCCTATCACACCAACAAACCTCACACCAGACAAGTCCTGYCAGGATTGGCTATGGACACTTTAATGTGCCCACTGAAAGCAGCAGTTAAATTTTAAAGTGCAGTTTCCTTTCACAGCCATTGGTTTGTTCAGTCTGCAGGGTGACTTCCTAGTGGGCTAACTAAATTCACTTCCAAGGAAATCAGAGCAATAGCCATACTTCATAGTGAATGTACTCCAAGCCCTAGGTGGAAACAGAGGGATTCAAACTAACAGTGCGTCCTTGAAACAGCTTTGGATCATGGGTAGTGGAAAAGTTTGGCTAAGAGAATTTGATTTATTTTGAAGTAAAGACTCCAAAATGCAGAAAAAATCTAGATATAGAGGCTTCACTACCAAATTGTCTGATTTCCTCATCTGCTCTTGCTACTACTGTATGGCATTAGTGCACACTACGCACTAATGTAAGTACAGACAGATATCATCTGTGGCTAAAGAAAAAGCAGATAAAAATTTAGTGGTTTAGATTATACCCTGAATAATTATGAAGAAGATTCTTTTTGTAATGACTGAGGTCAGTATCCAGCATGTCAAAAAGTGTTCAATGTTTTTCATGACTATAAAATACAGCATGGTTCCAAATATATCTTTCTTTTCAGAAAAGAAGGTCCAAGTGAATGCAGATTTTATAATCTGAACACGTGGTTGCTTCTCATTCCAAAAGTATTCATGCTACACAAGGCACTATAACCACCATATTTATGGAATAACAACCTGAAGTACTAAATTGTCAGACCACACAACACAAACACAGTAAGGATTTCCATGAGATTAACAGTATCCTCTGAAATGACAAACATCTTCAAGTACGGAATGGCATTAATCTGACAGCAGTACCTGAAGGCACTAGATATGCTATTTTAAGCCATATGAAAACTTAAACTCACTCCCTACCTTAAACAAGTGAGTTTGAATGGCCACTGGCCCAGGCCCCAGGATCTACCAAGCCTTCCAGCATGAGWGCCTTAATGCCCATTACAAGCACTCACAGCTTTCCTTTACTGCCTCTTCTGCTCTAATTCCAGACTCCTGATCCAAGGGAAGTTGTCTTCCTCCTCCTCCTCTCCTTGTGCTGTACTCCATCAGTGGAAGATGGGAGCTGTTGGCTACCACTTCTTAGTGGATACTAACAAACTGATTCCCAGATATGGAGGCAGATGAAACACTCTTAGCTGCAGCTAAGCTCCAACAAATACAGAAAAAAAGTAAACAAATCAAATCTTTGCCTTYAGGTTGAGGCTCTAGGAAAGCTCTKTCCGAGTATTAAAGTTAATTTCTACATTTCTACTGTTGCTYTGTGCCACATACTGATTGAAGGTACTGAYTGAAGAAAAGCAACATTCTTYCCAYKTTTCTCGGATTGTATCAACAATGTCCCTTACCTCAGCTGAGCACTTTGTGATTTACAGCAAATGATTTTTCTATTTTTTTAAAGCTTTAAGAGTACTCACACAATGACCAGCAGTGACAAAAGCAGCAGTCTATGCCAAAATACTTTTAATAATAWGAATTAAAAATGAAAGCAAAGGCACCAACTGTGAAAATTGCTAAAAGCTTGATTTGCTTATGTACAAGATGTTGAAAAATGTTAAAATAACATTTTTTTAAAAAGTAGAAAAGCTTGTGGCAAATATGAGAGTCCAAGACACAATGCAGAGCTCTCAAAAACACACCCACCCACTTCCTAAAGGCTCCTATTCAGTGTGCTGAGTTAAGACTCTAGCTTAGTAAAGCTTATATTAAATCAAACAATAAAATAACAACCCAGGAAGTTTCTTGCAACTTTCTGCAGTTCGTATTCTTCAGCTAGTGAAGTGAAAACCTGCTTATTTGTACCAAGGTGAGATTCCTCTAGCCCACATGCTTCAACAATAGGCAAAGGTGCACTCTGATGAGACAATACTGTCCTTGACATCTTAAGAAAACACAATTGCAAATATTAATGTTATAATATCTCTGGGAAAGCAGATTGGATACCAGCCATGGTTACAAATTTTACCTTAAACTACATCCTTCCCTCCTTTTTCCTCCTCTTTAAAGCTATGTTCATTCTGTGGACAGTTCCTAGAAATTTCAAGACATTCTTTTGGTGACAGAATCCATCAAAACCAACTTACCTTTGAGAAGAGACTCACTTCCTCCTCTGCATGAATAGGATACTCTTTCAAATTCACACTGTTATATACTTATAATTTCATKAAACTTCTTTGTTACATTTATTTTAAACACAGACATACACTTACATTTCTATTTCTTATCGTGAAAGCTCTAAACATGCTACAAATAGGATAATGAATACATCATTGAGTAAGACCAGCATATAGTGTTTCTGGAAATATTTGTCTGAGGTGCAGCAGGAAGAAAAATTCAATCCCATAGTCCATTGCTTGCTAATGACATTTCCTTTGGTTCTTGGAAACACTAGACATACACACAAATGAACATCACTGCAATAAAGTCCTACAGGTCAGAGGTCTCAGTAACATTATAATTTCAAAATTATTTGAGTATCTTATTACCTCAATAACTTGCTGTGTCAGGCAAATGGCTTAACACTGTTAGTCTAATTTTGTAAAYGTATTTTAAGTCTATTATTTTTCTAAGCTACTGCTTAAAATGAAAGAMACTTCACACAAGGTTCCATGCTGACTCACTCAATGAATGTTTATGTCAGCATTTAAATGATTCCTTTTCTTCCTTACCTCCAGATGCTCTAAAATATAGGGAGGGTTTGTCATGCCAAGCCTCAGCATAGCTCCCTCAGGAATAACTTCAACCAGCTTCCACAGAAGCGTGGGGAGGTCTGTGCCAATGTCTCTGCCATAAGCCCCTGTGTCTTCACTGGTCAGCCATATCTCACAAACACCCTCTGTGAATAAAAGAAAGAGATAATTAACAAATCTGTTTTAGAGCTGTTTATTTTATCATACAGCTGCTCACTCTTTTAAATGCAGTATTTCACATGGCTATTATGCAGCCAGACTGGGTATTCAATTGCAAAAGGGAGGGAGTGAGAAGGAAGGCTTATCCCATGGGTAGCAGTAGGTTATTAGGTTCATTTTRCGAGCCCAAGAGTGCTACAAAAATGCTGTAAATTATCATTGCTGTGGAGTGATTAACATTCACAGCCAATGACTAATTCTGTGCTGCCYCTACAACAAGTCAGACCAGTTTAGTACTTTGCTTTATTTTTTGAGCCTAATTCATTAAACACCATAAGCAACATCACCCAGGCAGAGTTTGCACTAATGGCTATTACAGTAGTTAGCTTATTAACTGGTAAGCTTCCAGCGAGCAAAACCAGCTCTAAAGCACCATGATTAACATTGCTCCTGAAGTAACTATTAAAATCTTGTATTCTTTAAATTATGCAATTAGCAATGCAATATTAAGATTCCACTGAAAAGGTTACTGACCACAGCACGACTGAGCAATAGTAGAGGAAAGCCTGTTTCCTGGCAGTTAATGCTTCATTTTCCATCAATCAGAGCCTTAGGAAGTAGTGAATTTGATTTATATTGTAAATAGTAACCTTGAACACTGAYATTTGGTAATTATATCCTCCTACTCTAAGAGGGGACAGATTGTACCACTGTTTATTAATATTGAAAACATTGAGGTTTCATGCAGCCACTTCTGCCAGGCTGCCCAGCTTTCATCCTTTTTGCTATGTAATCCCTCTCCCCTTCGTTACCACCCCAAAGCAAGAAATAAGCCATTGAAAACAGGGCATCTGTGAGGAAAACACATCCTAGCAAGATGAGATACTATTAACTCAGTRAAGAGTTAAACTTCTGAAACCAATGATGAACTGCTAAAAGAAATACCAAACACTAGAAGGTGCATAATTCAACAAAACACTCTTTGGACCAGCAGATAATGTATCATAAAATGCAAACGTTTATGTTACAAATACATACCCAAATGAGGAAAACATAAACACATACACAGACTTTAATCATAAAAAGCAATAAACCTAGAAAACAAAATGTTTTACAAAACCTAAATTCAAGACTGACACTCTTAAAATCACACTACAACAATAGAGGCAGAGAGCAAGCTATGTTGAGCATCAGAGTTAATCCTRTTTGTATAGAAATGTTTTCAAGGTAGTTTATTACTTAGAATGGAGAAYGCTTACAAATTAAATGTTAACCAGAAAACTCATCACTTTTTAAGTTTTGCTTCAAGAATAGGTTGGTGAGGGAGATGTATACTTTGGATCTTGAGAGAAGTCTGCTGTAAAGCGATCCTGAAGTACTGAGTACCAGTCGCAGTCACAAGTTTGTAGTCACACTCAAACTGAGCTCCTGTGCAGAATCTGCCTGCAGTTACAGTCACATAGTGGATTTCAGGGCACTTGCTAATGTTTTTGGAATTCATCTCACCACAGGAAGTACCCACCATGAAACATACTAGAGTTTGCTGCCYGCCCTATATTTTCTTGAAATATGTGAAAAAAAAGACTGATTTGCTGAGTTCCTACTGTAACAGAGTAATTCTCATTTGCATGCTTTCAATCTAAAGACTTGTATGGGGTTTGGTTTGGATATCTTTTTTCTTTTTTCATGGAAATGGCTAATGGAATACTGTCTCGTGGTTACCAGATGAACACTGAGGGAAAAAAAAATAAATCCCTGGCAATGAATGGAAATAACATTCCGGTGGAAAACAACAACGAGCTTTTAAAGCCGCATAGGTGGGGACCATTAGCCCCCTGGTGGGCTGAAACTTCAAATTAAATCACAAGAAGAGGAAGCAGCTGTAATAGTAAATCAGCAACAACAGGAATAACTGTCTCATCTGCTCTCCGATCAGGGTGTTGAACAACAAGCAATGGGAATAATTCATGCTGAGAGATCCAAGGATGTAATCTTATGGGGGGGGGGGGGGGGAGGGAGGGGCAAGAACACCTGTATTTTAGGAAAAAATTCACGTCCCAGTGTCAGGTTGACAAAATGAATCTTCAAATACTGAAAGCTACGATGAGTGATAAATATTTACAAGTAGGATAAATAAGATAAATCAACTTTGTACATAACTGCATGTGATAGAGGTTTTTTGTCAATTGACTTTATGCTGTCTTTCCTAGTCCTTTGCATCCTCAGTTTAGGAGTCTAAACTTACACTAGCTAAGTGGCGAAAACAAAAGACCTCCCAAACAGAATTAATGAAGTCAGTCAATATTTCCTATTTTCACTCCCCCCAATTCCCTTTCAAACTCCAGCTCTACACAGGAGCCTATTTAAATCCACTGTCTAATCATGTTCAGAATTTTTTCCCTTCTTTTGCAGTGAACCTCACTTGATCATTCACCACTGTTACTGGGCAATTTTGGTGCTAATAAATGCAAGCGGATTTTGTAAAGAAGAAAATTGCTCCAAACAGCAGACTTCAGATGTGCAAACTCAGAGCATTTGTTACAGTATTAAGGCCAATTATCATTATATCCAAGTAATTAAAAGTCTGCCTTTGGTCAAAGATTGTGGTTTATCTCTCACTCTGCCATCACTATCCAGCACAAAAGAGTAACCTTAACAGTTGGCCCCTGATCTCTGCTCTGCTGTAGCTGGAGATTACTGAGAATGAAAAATGTTGGAAAAAGAATAGGTTCCAAGGAAATGAAGAAAATTCTGAGCCTATTCCTTCTCACATGTCTCAATATAAAGAATACTCATTCCATATTATGTGACATGGGTTTTAACTTCATTTTTGTGGGGTAAGCAATCCTTAAGAAGATAAGAAATCCTACAGCTATCACTTTTACAAAATATGTGCATTTCTGGTTTAAAGATCACTTGAAATWATTAATTTCTTAAATTAAAAAAAAATTCTAGCATTTTTATTTTGCTTTATCTTCACATCACTATTGTAAACACTGTTTTCAGCAGTACCAAGCATCCTTTAAACTGAAGGGAAGTTTACTCCATTAGAAAAAGGAATTTACTTCAATCTACAAAAATATCTGAAGACATTAAAATATTGGACACCAATCCCAGTGAAATTCTTGTATKTGATAAGTGACTTTGTACAAACGAAATTCAATCCCCAAATCCCCCTGTTTTTTTCTTCTCCTCCCCCTCTTGTTCTCTTTCCTGGCAGATTTTTTAATGTGAACAGGAGTAGCTTTTCYAACAGCACAACTCTCTGCAGGCTGCCTCAGTGGGAGGCCCCTGACTCTGACCTTCTCAGTAGCCCACATATGCTTATCAATAACTGCCTGACCTCCTTGTGATTCCTTCTCCAACAGTGAATTCTTACAGCAGCCTGCAGTGCTGTRCAGACCACAGAAATACCTCTCCCAATCCACCACAGAAATCTAAAAGACCATCTGCCAAGGGGAGGCCTGACTTAAATGTTTGTCTAAACTTTGCAGACTTGAGGACAATCAATCTGACCATACCTGACCATAACCTTAGAATTATTTAAAAACAAACAAAAAAAAAACATGGCCAAAAATAAAAGCTTAGAAAACACCAAGTTCATTGCTCAGAATGAACTTAGCCCACTTGATTTTCTCTTCAATTATTTGAGTTTCTCCTTATTGATTCAGCATGGATTTTACAGGCACCATTTACATACTTRATGCAGTGCATATGCTAGATTATTCTGCTGAACCAGTGACTTAACTGGGAAAYTGTGAAGACATCTGTGTGTATAGCACATATATATCACTGTACCTATCTGGATACAATGCAAGTTGAAACAGAAACTGAGATTCGAAGAATCAGTTTCCTCCTGAAATTCTGAAGTACTCTGGGAGCATCAGTTCACCATCATCCAAGTGTCCTCTTAAAACAGTTCAACCACATGGATCAGCAGTGAAGCATCCATTGCAGGGACTTCCTGAGAGAGAAAATCAAACTAGGAGCAACTCACTGATTCTAAGGGGCAGTTGGAAGGATTAATTTCCACTTCACCAAGAAACCCTTATCCTTATTTCATCTGTATATATGCAGGGYTCTGGACAATAGAGAGAATGGAGCTGGACACAATCCCATACAAATCCTAGTTACTCCGAAAGTAACTCACACCAAACTGTCACAATTAGAGAATGCAGGATATCTGTCAAGCAGATGACAAAATAAGTAGACTAGGGTAAAAAAGACAAATCTAGGTTCAGGGCTGGTGAAAGAGGCAAGCAGTCAGACTATGACCTAAAGGATGAATGTTTTTTCTGTATTTTGTAAAGTGCAGGTTAGCTTATGGTTCAGCACTATACCAGACAGGCAAAAGCACTGCTGAAGTTCTGCTCGGGACACACTGCATACAAACTGTCTCACATCCTGAATTTCTAGAGGATATTTATTAATGCTCAAAAGTATTTCCTCTTTTWAAAAGATCTATTTTGTTACCCTTCTGGACAGTCTTAAGGACATGGAAGATGATTGTCCRCTCATGTTTTCTTAATGCTGGCCACAAAGAGAACAAGATCTGAACGTCATGATGAATGTGGGCTGACCTTCAATGTTTGGGGAACTTACTGGATTCCCAAAACTGTTTTTGCCAGAGGAAGTCTAGAAAAAGGAGGACTGGGATTAATCAAACTTCCACATCACAGAAGGATGCAATGGCTGGTTGAGTGGCCAGAAAAGGCTGTTCAGYATTTGTGCCCTTCAAAATGAGGACCAGGAAAATATTTCTCTGAATTTTTACTATTAGACCATAATCAAGAGTTTTAGAATATCTGTTTAACAGCATGRATTGCTCTGAAGCATTGATTAGTATTACATGAAGAACCGCTACACACATTGACTTCATCTAAAAGCCTGAACAAATTCCATTTTATGTGGTCACCAGGAAAGCCCAAAGGTACAGACAGTTCTGTATACACACTGTAAATTTATTTTCATTGGATCGCAGAATAGC